AATGTGTGCATGACATGCTTTTAAGTTTAATTTGCATTATTAACATTTTCTCTACTACTCCCTTATGTCTAGGCAATCAACAAATAAATCAATCCCTGAATTGTAGCAATTGCCAACTTCTGAAGGGTAAATAAATCCTCACACTGAAAATTTAAAAATTGGCTCCTATGAGCCTGTTTGAACTGACTCTCAGCACACCTGTGACCTGGCTCCAGTTTTGTTGCTTTACCAATGGCTCTGTCTAATATGAGAATATACCTACACTGATTCCTGGGTAGTGGTCATGGATCTGGCTGAATAGTCTGGGGCCTGGAGAAACTGGACAAATAAAGGCTCAGATCAGGACCAATGAAGGAATTTTCCATTGCCTCCTACCACAGACATTTCCTTATGGAGAATATTTCCATGAGAGAAAGATAACATATGCCCCCAGTTGAATAAACAACCAGGTTAAAGCCTTCATAAGAACAGCAGAGGATGGACAGTGGATCCTCTGCCAATCTGGACATGGGGCTGTGATGTTACATTGTGCCAGATACTGAGCCACTGATAACCTTAACTAAGGACAAAGTAGTTAATCTTGCCCAATTGGGCACCTTACGCCAATGGGAGTACCCATTTGACCATGTAGCCCTCAACCTGTCTGCAACTGGCAAATTGGTCCTCTTATCCTATATTAGGGCAAGAAGTTTGCTCCCTTCTAATCAACAGCTTCATTAACATGACCCAACTGCCAAGGTTAGGTGTTCTACCTCTCGGAAGTCATGCCTGTGATGAATCAATGCCATGCTAGAAAAGGAGAATACTCTATGGCTCAGTGTTTTCTCACATCCAGTTTCCAGAAAAACCTACCCAATAATGGTTGACTGCTTTTAGACATAGTTCCAGCTGCCTTTCTCCAGCCCTTCATTGTTTCTTTCCCAGCAGAAAGTTGCCTAGCCTTCCAGGTTCTTACCACCTCAGAAGGCTCCACATACCTTGAAGAAACAGCTCAGGTTCCCCTTTAACTGATAGGCCTCCTTTTCCAACAGCATGGGGAAGAGCTGTATAACTATGAATGTGTATTTTCCTGGAACAGAGGGATACCCAAACTCTTGAGTTCCTGGAAGAGGTCAAGAGTCCTTATCCAAACTCTGCAAAATAAGTGGGGAAGGCCCTCAGTAGAGACCTCTACTGGGACAGAAATTTGGTATTACTGCAACAATAGGGCTCCCAGGAAGGAGGATATCTAGGCTTGTGAGTTGGGGTGGTGGTAGTACAAGATGAGTCTTGGTATCAACACTGTCACCAAAATAGGCTACATGCAAGAGGGTAATAATCTCTTAGCTCCAGGACACTGTCCTTCCTAAGGTAAAGAGTGATCTCTAGGATTTCTGGTATTTATTCTCTCCCACAGTCACTCCTCAAAGTCATTACATTTTTTTGTTTGTTTGGGTTAGTTTTGTTCTCTTTTCAATTGAGATTTTTTTCCCCTCTTCTTTTTCCTCCAGTACTGTGTCCTGTTCTTCATACCCTCAAAGTTAAGGTTGTCCATAATGGTCCTAAAGCCATTTAAATGGTGGAAAGTTCTCTAGAACAGCAGTGTCAAACTTACAGCCTGTGGACCACCAGTGACCTGCAAAATTCCTGAGTACAACCTGAACCAGATTAAAATATAATGGAGAAATGTTGAAAAAAAAAGAAAAATATAATACAACATAGATAATGTTAATTTGTGGTTTTCTAAGTCATTATGCTGTCTGCAGGAATATGTTTCTATTTGAGTTTGACAACACTGCTCTAGAAATCCTTTAGAATCTTGCCACCAAGGAGTGGGATGTTCCCTTGCCTAGTTTTTTTTCCCCCCTAAAAGCCAAAGAAGTTGCCCTCAGTATATTATTTATCCAGAAGGCTAAGTCTGAGCTGCCTACCTGTTGATGTAATTTCCAGATGTTATAGCTATACTGATATGTCTTCCATTTGTGTAAGGTCATAAACTTCACCCATGTGAAATTGTGGCTAATTGACCATACTCTGCCTTGCTGACTACTGCTTTCTTCATTTTGCATCAATTCATAAGAATGTTCCCACATATCTTTGAATTTTCGTATTCCTTACTTACAATACAATAGTATTCCATTATATTCATATGCCATGATTTGTTTAGTGAGTCTCCTTCGATAGGGCCACTTTGTATCTAATGTTTTGCCATTGCAAAAAGTATGTGTATTTTGGTATACATGGAAACTTTCTATCTGTCTTTGATTTCTCTGGGGATATGCGCTTTAGTGGAATTTCTGGGTAAAGATAGTTTAGTACCTTCTCTCAAATAAACTCAAATTGTTTTACAGAAGAATTCGACCAATTCCTAGCACCACCAACATGTATGTTAGTGTGTTTGACATTTTGTAACCCCTCCAACACTGACTTTATATTTTATTGCCTTTACCAATTTGATGGGTATAAGGTAAAACTTAAGAACTGTTTTAATTTGTATTTCTTTCATTACTCGTGATTTGGAGTATTTTTTCATATAGTTGTTGATACTTACATTTTCTCTTTTGAAACTTACGTTTCAGAGAATGGCTCAATTTTAAATTATATACACAAGTATACATATATATATGTGTACATGTATATAAAATATGTATTTATATCTTATATATATATATGAAATCACAGTGTTCAGACAAAAATTTAATTTGTCTGAACTCTGTGATTTCTTCAGTATGAGGGAGTCCTAGTGTAGAATTTCTTTCCACTGATGCAGATGGTAACTTTTCTGTGATTTCTAGTTTTAGAGCTTCCTGATGCACTGAGAGGTTAAGTGACTTGCCCAGGGCTTCACAGCTGTATCAGAAATGGGACTTGAATCCAGGTCTTCTTGTTTCCAAGGCATACCTCACTGCCTCTCATACATTTATGCTATTTCTCCATACATCTTGGAGATCAGACTTTTATCACGGTTGATGCATAGATCCCCCCTCCATTCAATATCTTCCCCTCTTATTCCAGTTCTTTTAATTTTGTGTATGCAACTTTCCCTTCTTTCCTTTCTTGAAACTGCCCATTTAAAATATATTTTACATGATTTCACATGGATTTCATCCATATCAAATTGCCTGCCTATTCAAGGGTGGGGGAGGAATGGGAAGGAAGGAGAGAATTTGGAATTCAAAATTTAAAAAAATAAATGTTAAATTTTTTCCATGTAATTGGAAAATACTGAATGAAATAAATTAAAAAAAATTAAACTGTCCATTTTATCTTTTCTATTCTCTATTTGTTTGATTATGAATACACTCCCAAAAATTGGCTGTGGAATATTTCATCTTCCTTAATTAAAAAAAATTATGTGACCCTTTTGATCTCTATGTTTAGTGTCACTCATATTGTCTTTAAAGGCAGCATAATTGTGGTTAGGGTAGTGCACTTGTAGTCAGGAAACCTTGATTTTAATCTCATCTGAAATGTTGGCTTTGTGATCTAACACAAATCTTTTTCTAAGAGTCTTCTTTTCCTTATCAACAAAAAAGAAGAATATTTCTATTATCTACCTCAGGAAAGACAGTCCTTGGCAGACGTTCTTAACTTGGGGTCTGTGAATTTAAAAAAATTTTTTTTTTTTTTTGCTGAGGTTTTCAATATAATTGATTTCCTTCGTAATTCTATGTATTTTATGCATTTAAGAACACTGTTCTACTTACTAGCTGTGTGACCCTGGGCAAGTCACTTAACCCCAATTGCCTAAAAAATAAAAATAAAAATAAAAATAAAAAAAAGAACACTCTTCTGAGATGGAGTTCACCAGACTAGGTCCAAGACACACAAAAAAAGATTAAGAACTATTGGTATAGAGGATAGAGTATTTATTAAGTACCTATAATGTGCAAGGCACCTTATAAATATATTATCTCATATATATAACCCTTACAACCCTGGGAGGTAGGTGCTATTATAATCTTCATTTTATAGTTGAGGAGTCTGAGGTAAACAGAGACAAAAGCAAGTTTCTGAGGTAGAATTGGAATACAGGTCTTCCAGACTCTAGGTTCAGCGTCCTACCCACTACACCACCTAGTTGCAAACTTGGGTTCACTTCTGATCTCTGACCCAGATTGGTTTGCATAACCCTAGGCAATCACTCAGCCTCTCAGTTCTCTAGTTAACACTCTAAGAGTAAGCTGCAGAGCAGGTTCTTGCCTGCATTGGTAAAGGGGGTTCCCTTAATTAAAGTTCCTATGCCAATGAAAACGCAGGTCTGGTGTCTGTCCCTCCTCCCGCAACAAAACAAAACCTTGTCTTTGTGAGGAAGTTGTGTATACGTTGCTGGTTGGTGGTGTTCCTGTTTCTTAGCTTACTGCTATGACTTATTATATTGACTGTTTTTAATGGTATTAGCCATCCTTGCAGTCCAGTATAGGCTCCTATTTTCGTTATAACGGATCATTTCTTAAATGCATCGATGGTTTCTCTTCTTTATGGAGCCAGTTCACCTAATGGGTGACTCCATCAAGAGGCACACAAGACCCTTTCTTGCCAGGAACCACACAGCTTTGGTTCATGTTTCAGATCCGGATTGAAAGAGGGAGCCAACTCCAGAGGGGACCCGCCGTTGGTGCTGGACCCTAGCTTCCTTCCACACAGACATCCCTTCGGAGCGGCTCCGACCCCTCGCCCTCTGGCCTCCCTCCGAACCCACAGGGAACGATGGGACACGTAGTTCCCACCCCCAGATCGTCTAAATCCAGGTTTTTGTCGCCGAGGGTAGCCTTATCCTTGTGGAAAAGGAAGAAAGCGGAAGGGGGAGCACGTGCTTGGGGAGGGGGTGAAGACTGCCGGCACCCTTCTTCTAGAATACACCTGCAAGCTGTTACTCTCCCTGATCCCCACCTACGCCCGTCCGAGGCCGCGCCAAATGGCGGGCCCTGTGTAGGAGAACTACAACTCCCAGAAATCCTCTTGTCTACGGCACCCGAGGGACTCCTTCACGGAACTCCCTCCGGGCCCCCGCCTCTCCCTGGCGCTTCTATAAACACACGGGAGAAACTGTCATGGAGGGGGAGGAGGCCGCGGCGGGTGACGGGGACGTTTGGGGCCGCTCCTGGGGCTCCCCGGCTCATTTCTGAACGGGCCCCCTCTCCCTGGGACCTCGGGATCCGAAAGGTCTAGAGAAAAAATAAATCCCTGTTCTTCCCAGGGGGCGGAGCCGGGCGGGCAGGCAAGGCTGTGAGGCTGGGCCTGAGAGCCTGCCGACATGGATGACAGCAAGGTAAGCCCTGGCCCGGGCCGGCCGCCGCTGCCGACCCCGCTCGTCCTATCTTCGGGGGCCTCCCCGAGGCGTGGGGAGCTTTGCCCGGGGCAGTGAACACCTCCGGCCGGCGGGTCAGGGGTGGCGAGGGGCATGGGGGGCCCCGCCTTCTGGAGGCTCCTCTTCTCGGAGTTAGCCTTCACCCCCAGCGCCTGCCCGGGTCTGTTTGTCTACCCCTGGCCTTTCGCTTTTCTTTATTCACCTAGGTGAAAAATTGGCCCTCTTGTCTCTTATTGGCTCCCATCCCTCTTAATTGGGGGATGCTTACTCACTAGGTGACTGCAGTAATTTCCTTGGACTTTTTGGCCCTAGGTCAGGTTGTGTCTTATTGTCTCCCATTCCTCTTAGTTTGGGAGTCCTTAACTGGATTAATTTCCTTTGATTAGTGGGCCCTAGGCAAACTCTCCCCTTTTTCTTTGCCCAAAATCCCTTTAGACTGAAACCACTACTACCCTCAAAGGTCTTCTTATGGCCAGGACACCCTTGCCTCTCTACTTTCTTCTTTCCACCGGATCCTGAAATTTGGTTTCCTCTAGAGAGCTTTATCAGGACTAGCTAGTCACCACATTGGTTAGAGCACTGGATTGGGAATCAGGGAGACTCATCTTCATGAGTTCAGATCTAGCCTCAGACCCTTACTAGCTATGTGACCCTGGGCAAGTCACTTAACCCTGTTTGCCTCAATTCCTCATCTGTAAAATGAGCCGGAAAAGGAAATGGCAAACCACTCCAGTATCTTTGCCAAGAAAACCCCAAATGGGGTCACAAACAGTCTGACGTGACTGAAATAACTTAACAACAAACAGAAGAGGGTCTTATCTGACCAAGAAGACTAGTAAACTGCTTTCTTGCTGAGCAACTTTCATGTCCTACTTTCCTCTTATTAATTTCTCTCTTATCCAGGATGTTTACTCTGGTGCTGGTAGTACTCTGGTACTACTTTTGTAGCTAATGCTATCAAATTGAATTCATACACCAAAATGTTCTGTGACTATTTTTGTCTATATTTGTTAGTATGAGGGTAGCTTATATAGCAAATTTCCTAAGGATAAGATACTATTTCCCATTTAAATGTTGGGAAACTCATCCCCATGAATAAGAAAGAATTAGACATTTCTAAAACTGACTTTTTTGAAGTAGAAATCAGGCCTTCCCAATGCTTCCTGGGTGACCAACCTCTTTACATCATCTGTTCCTCTGTCATATCTCAATTTTTTTCCTCATCTTTTCTCCCATTAGAGCTTTTCTGATGTGGAGGTGCATCTGTTGTTACATACGTACAAAGGTAGGGTGATAAGAATTACCTTAGTTCTGTGGTAGTTTAGTCTTCTTGTGTCATCATCTCTCTTTCAGGAGATAGGTAAGGTATGTTTCATCTTCAGTCCTCTGGACTGGTAGTTTATCATTGCATTGATCAGAGTTGTGAAATCTTTTTTTTGTTTGTTTTTTTTTTATAGTGCTATTGTCATTGCAGAAATTATTCTCCCAATTCTGTTTATTTCACTCTGCTTCATTTCATAAGCTTGTTTCCAATTTCCTCTGAAACTTCCTTTAAGAAAGTGACTTTGAAATTGTTCATTTCATCTTTTCTTATGGTACAGCAATATCCCATTACATTTATATACCATTATTTGTTTAGTCATTCTCCAGTAGGTGGATCTCTCCCTTAGTTTCTAGGTTTTTTTTGTCACTACAAAAAGAGCTGCTATAAATATGATTGTATATTTGAGTCCTTTTCATCTTTCTTTGATCTTTTGGGGTATAGATCTGGTGGTGGTATAGCTGGGTCAAAGGGTCAGAGTTTAGTGATTTTTGGAGTATAGTTCCAAATTCCAGAATGACTGGAATACTTCACAGTCGTCCAGTGCATCACTGTGCTTATTTTCCTGCAGCCCTTTCAACTTTTGACATTATCTTCTTTTGTCATCCTTATCAATCTGATGGGTTTGAGGTCAAATCTCAGAATTGTTTTGATTTGCTTTTGTCTGATTATTAGTGCTTTGAAGCACTTTTATATGGTTGTTGGTAGCCTGGATTTCTTCCTGTGAGAGCTTCTGCTTATATCCCTTAACCGTTTGTCATTGGGGAATGGCTTTTAGTCTTGTAAATTTGAATCAGTTCCTTACCTATTTCCCTTCTAATTTTAACTGCATTCTGGTTTTCCGCAAAAGCAACTTTCCTCTTTTAATCAACAGGTATTTATTAAGTGTCTGCCAAGGTTCAGGCACTATGTTTAAACGTTTGACAAAGACAAAAAAATGACACAGTCCTGCCCTCAAAGAGCTTACATGCTATGTGAGAAATAAGAGGTACACATAGGTAGACACAAAGTAAATTCAAGTTAATTTTAGGTTTAGAGAGATAGTAAGTATTACTTAGTAGGTGATGGTTAAGATGAGCTTTGAAAGAAGCTAAGCATTTTAAGGGGCAGTTAGGTGGCCCAGTGGGTAGAGTGATGGGCCTGGAGTCAGGAAGGCCTGAGTTCAAATGTGACCTTAGACACTAGTTGTATGACCCTGGATAAGTCACTTAACCCTGTTTGACTCAGTTTCCTCATTGTAAAATAAGCTGGAGAAGGAAATGGCTAACCATTGTAGTGTCTTTGCCAAGAAACTCCCCCTCAAAAAAAGGATGTCATGAAGAGTTGAACAAAACTGAAAATGACTAAACAATAGCAAAGGATTCTAAGAGATGAAAGAGAGGAAAAAATGCATTTCAGGCATGAGGGTCAGACAATGCAAAGGCATAGAGACTGTATATGGACTGTTACTGCAGATGGAATGCCATGTATGAAGATAAGCAAATAGATTAGTTTGGCTAGAGCATAGTATACTAATATGTGAAGGAGAGAAATGTATAATAAGCGTGGAAGGGCAGAGTGATGTCATATTAGGAAGGGCTTTAAATGCCAAACAGAGGGGTTTGTATTTGATCTGAGAGGCAATCAGGAGCCACTGGAGTTGTTTGTTTGTTTTGTTATTTTCCAGTTCATTTGCTTTAGGAATATCACTTTGGTAGAGTTCTGTGGGATATGGATTGGTGAAGGAAGAGACTGGAGTCAGGAGACCAAAGAGAAGTCTGTTATTTCAGTAGTTCAGGTGAAAAGTGACAAGGGAAGGAAATAAGGTGGTTATGGTATTTGAGTTAGAGATGCTTTGGAGGTAGAATTGATAGGACTTGGCATCTATATGTGGAGTGGGGGAAGAGAAGAGCTGAAGATAATGTTGAGATTGTAAACTCGGATATCGGTAAGAATGGTAATGCCCTTCATAGAAATAGGGTAGTTAGGAAGAAGGGCAGATTTTGGTGGAAAGATGATGACTTACGTTACAACATGCTGAGTTTGAGATGCCTACTGGATATACAGTTTGAAATGTACAATAGATAGATGGTGATACAGGACTGGAGCTCAGGAGAGAGAGAAGAATCAGATATATATTTTGTAGTCATCTGTATAGAGATTATAATTGAACTAACGGGATCACCAAAAAAAGAGAATATGTAAAGAAATTAGAAGGCCCAAGACACAGCCTTAGGGTATACCCTCAGTTATGGAATAAGTGCCTCATGCATATTAAGCTTTTATAATAAATGCTTGTTGAAGGGAAGTAGTTTTTTTTAAAAAAAGTAGGAGGCTGGATGAGTTATGGAAAGATGGGCACATTTAATGCACTGTTGGTAGAAATGTGAATTGGTTCTACAATTGTGGAAAGTAATTTAGAAATATACTAAGAAAGTGACTCAAATTATATACCCTTTGACCCAGAGATTCTACCGCTATTCGTATGCCCTCAGGAGGTCAGTGATTAGAAAGAAAGAAAAAAAGGTACTCTATACATTAAAATATTTGTAGTAGCAAAGAATTGAAAACAAAGCCATTCCCTAGCAATTGGGGAATGGATAAACAAGGTGTAGTCCCTGAATGCAGTGGAATATTATTGCACTGTTAAAAATGATGAATATGATGAATATAGGAAGCATAAGAAAACATATGAACTGATGAAAAGAAAAATAAGCAGAACTAGGGAAATAAATGCTCATTTGATTGGTCCAGCAAATGATATTAACAAGGAGTAACCAGATAGGTAGGAGGAGAACCAGGAGAAAGCAATGTCATTAAAAACCTTGAGAAGAGAGAGAGAGTATCCAGGAGAAAAGAGGAAGTAGAGGCAGCAGCCATTTCTAGGAATTTGATTGATAAAGGGGGAAGAATCATAGGAAGGGAAGTATATGATAGGGTCAAGTGAGGGATTTGTGTAGGTAGCAGGGAAGGAGCAAGTAGCTAGGGAGAGACTGAAAATTAGAAAGGGGTTGATTGTAGGGGCAATCTACTGGAGAGAACAAATAAAGGATCAGCCAATCATACTTTTTTAAAGTCCTGCTATGTGCCAGGCACTGTGCTGAGTAAGTACTGGAATATAAAGAAAGGCTAAAAACAGTTTCTGCTGTCAAGGAACTGTGTAATAGAGGAAACAACATGCAAACAACTATGTACAAACAAGATATTTAAAGGATAAATTGGGGTGGTCTCAAAGAGAAGGTGCTAGCTAGGATTAAAGAGATGGGGAAAGACTCCTTGCAGAAAATGGGATTTTAGCTGAAACTTGAAGGGAAAGTTAGGGGGTAGAAATGAGGAGGGAAAGAATTCCAGGTATGGGGGATAGCTGGTGAAAACCCTTGGAGTTGGGAGATGGAGTTTAAGGTGAGAGGAACAGCAAGGAGGCCAGCATTACTACATGGCAAAGTGAAGGTGAGGTGTAAGAAGACTGGAAAGTAGGAAGGGATCAGGTTATAAAGGGCTTTAAAAGCTGATGGAGCAACTGGAATTGGAACAAGTAGAGGGCTGGCCTTGATGAGAAGAGCCCCCTCTTCACCAGAAACTGAAGTAAAGGAGAAGAGAATGTGAGATAATGTTTAGAGGTTTTGAATTGAAAATCATGAGAGAAGGTGGAGCTCTGGGT